TACATACATATTGGCTAGTCTAACAACCACCGTGTAAAATTTTCCTTTCATTTCAAGAAGACCTTCTTGTCACACAAAATACATGTGGGCAATGTTCTAAATGTAACACCCAGAATCTAGAAGGTTAATTGTAGAATTATGCCAATTTCAAGTTGAACTCGACGAGTTGGAGGAGCCAACTCGGCGAGTTGAAGATGAAGAATCGTGGGAATTTAATGGGTCTACTCGACGAGTTGGCCACTCAGAAGGAAACCCTAATTTTAGGGTGTTGCACCCTATTTAAACACCTTAAGTCCCAAGTGTTGGCCTCATTTCTAGCCTCCATAGCCCCTAACCCTAATCTCGAAACCCTAGAGCCTCCTTGCGTGTTGTGAGTTCATTGTGGGTGTGTTTTAGTGTGTTTGAAGATCATTAAAGGAAGAAAAGCTTGGTGCAAAGTGGTGGTTCGAGTAGGAGCTTTCAGATCTGGGTTCTTTGCTCCATTTCCAGCACATTTCGGGTATAAAGTCCTAACCTTACTTAATGTTTGATTAGATCTCCAGGTGGATTGTGGTGTCTCTCGTTTGGGTGTCAAGGTATTCGAGACCATTGGTCGTTGAGTTCGTTATTCAGCGGGAATTCTTCGAAGGATTTAACTGGTGCCAGTTAAAGGTCAAGGAATGCATCAGCTACCCTCCTATTCAGTATATTCTAAGTCTCTTCGGTCTTCAGGTGTGCTTACCCTCAATGGTAAAGTGGGAGCTTGGTTTATAGCAGACTCAGGTTTTGGTAGCCTTCAAGATCTTCTTGGAGGTTTTCTCGAGCTAGTGGTGTAGTGATGGAATTCGTTCAGTCTCAGTCTAGTAAGGGGTCTTGTTTTGACCGATCATGAAGATGTTTTTCTGTTTTGATTAAAGTGGAATTTCGATTATCTCTGGTGTTTCTTTTCTCTTCAGATGAGATTTTGGGTCTCTTAAGTATGTGTATGGGGTGTGCCGTGTGAGCTGGGGATCTTGGTTCGAGTTTTGTGCATGGTTCTTTTGGGTTTTAGCTTCCGATTTGGACCAAGAGTGCAACCTTTTTCCTATCCGCGGATTGTGTGCGACTTTGTTTTTGTAAGGTTTTGCTTGGTAGCCATTTTTTGGTGCTTAGTTGGCATTGTAAGGGATTTTTTTAGGTCCCTTCAAGGTAATGGAATGAGGTGGGTATCTTCAGGCCCGAAGTGTTGGGCCAATGATGCGAGGACGACAGTGTCGGTAGGTTATCGGGAGCATTCCAGTCATGGGATGAGGGTCGTGGAGGGCATACCAATCTCCTGCTGTGGGCTCAGAGGCAATCCAGACATATGCTGAGGACATTGTAGGGGGTATTCCAGTCATAGGCCGTGGGCCTAGTCATCATGATGATTCATTTCTTCTGCTTGTAGTGCTTTCGGAGTTGACACGCTGATGGGAATCGGACGAGCCACAAATCTGTTGGTTAAGTAAAGGAAGCAGTAAGGGTTGGGTGGAGTATCATGCACGTATCAAAAGGTATCGGTAGGTTGTATGCAATAATTCTAGTTGTTCGCAAGTGGTTGTTAGAGTTGTGATTCTCAGGTTGGAAATTCCTTATGCAGTCGTAAGTCATAAAATTCTTGGTGATTGTATCGAGTGGGTGCCCTGGTGGGAGTACACCGGAGTCGGTAAGGGTTGGATCTATCGTAAAAGTTCATGGTTGGATTGTAGTTGCTCGTCAAAGCAGTGGTCGGTAATGACATAACATAGGGTCAAGGGTGTAAAGATTTTGGGTTCTTCATATGGTTTGGTTTGGGGATAAGATTTGCGGTCAGAGTGTTTTGAGGATTATTCTTCATGGTTCTGGTAATGCCCCAGTTAGGGACTGGGGGTAGATTCAAATGGACGGTTCTACCATTGTGAAGGTTGGGGGTAGTGAGGAGGTTTCAGGCTCCTAGCATCAGTGTTTCGGGCAGTATCAATGTTTTGGGAAGTATCAGTGTTTCGGGATGTATTAGTAACGTGGGATTCCACGTGTGTGTGGAGTATCTGGGAGTTTTGGAAATGATAAATCACTCGCAGCAGGATTAAATAATCTCAGAGTAATTGGTTTGACCCTGTTGTGCATCTCTCATCTGAGTCTAACCGATGCAAGGATGAATCTTCTACTCGAAGGATTATCTGAGCCTTCTGTCGAGTATAAGTGTTCTTTCGCTATATATGGTCAATGACTTTGTTTCCTTTTGAAGCAACAATGTGATCAGGGGTTGGAAGCATTTTGTTTGGTACGAGACTCTATGAGGTTCGCTTGGTGACAGTTCGGTGGGGGAGGTCTGACAGGGCGTCAAACCATTGAGACTTTAGGTTTCAGATCTCAGGGGAGATAAGATTGGTTTTTATCCAAAAGACTGAGGATTCGTTCTTCATCGAGCTTGAAGAACTATTCTAGGGATGGTTTCGGTAGATCGGGATAAACCGTTCTATGATTAGAGTTGGAAGTGTTATGGTTGGTCTGTTATTCGTTGAGAGCTTGGCATGGAGTTGCTTCAGTGTGGGCGGTCTGTTGGGGAGTCAGACCATTATAGATTTCAGGCTTCAGAAGGGTAGAAGTGGTTTGCATAGGCCGAAGTTTTGATTGTTGTCTTCGGGATGAAAGTTTCGGTTCGGGTTCTGGTTGCCATGGGAAGACTGTCTTAGGCGCAGAATTTCCGTTTGAGATCATCAGGTTGGTCGTTTTGATATGAGTATTAATAAGGAGCGATTTCGAGGACGAAATCTAATTTAAGTGGGGGAGAGTTGTAACACCCGAAATCTAGAAGGTTAATTGTGGAATTATGCCAATTTCAAGTTGAACTCGACGAGTTGGAGGAGCCAACTCGGCGAGTTGAAGATGAAGAATCGTGGGGATTTAATGGGTCTACTCGACGAGTTGAGGAGCCTCAACTCGGTGAGTAGAAGCTGGCTTGACGACAAAGTTTAATGATGCAACTCGACGAGTTGGCCACTCAGAAGGAAACCCTAATTTGAGGGTGTTGCACACTATTTAAACACCTTAAGTCCCAGGTGTTGGCCTTATTTCCAGCCTCCATAGCCCCTAACCCTAATCTCGAAACCCTAGAGCCTCCTTGAGTGTTATGAGTTCATTGTGGGTGTGTTTTGGTGTGTTTGAAGATCATTGAAGGAAGAAAAGCTTGGTGCAAAGTGGTGGTTCGAGTCGGAGCTTTCAGATATGGGTTCTTTGCTCCATTTCCAGCATATTTCGGGTATAAAGTCCTAACCTTGCTTAATGTTTGATTAGATCTCCTTATTTTGGGTTTTGTGGAGTAAAGTCATTTTAGGGGTGGTTCTTCCAGATTTGGGTTGGTTTTGGTACCCTTGAGCTTAAAGGTGCAAGCTTTATGAGGATTTTGGTATCATGCATGCATTAAGTCAATTATTAAGTCCATTCCAAGCTTAAGAGCTTCATTAGACATGCATGCATGTAAAGTTGGCAACTTTACATGGTTTTCTAGCTCAAGGAAGTCAGATCTATGTTTTGGAGTCATGTCCCAATGGATTAAGTGCTTAATGTGTTAAGAGGTGGGTTTCTGGAGAACTCGACGAGTTGTTGGATAAACTCGGTGAGTTGACTCAGTTTTCCCCGACATTTTCAGATTTATAGAGGACCTCGGTGAGTTAGTGGGTCAACTCGGCGAGTTGACTTGGTTTTTCTCGATCAGTGCAGATTGATGGAGAAACTCGATCAGTGGAAGGACAACTCGACGAGTTGGGTCAACTTGGACCGTTGATTTGACTTTCGATTTATGTCTTTGACCAAGTTTGTCCCAAGGGGTGCTTGAAGTAATCTGAATTGTAATAAGGAAAATTATGGGCTTAGGATAAGGCCCATATGGGGTTAGGCCTAATTTGGAAAATTAGGCCATTAGTGGGCCTTTGTGGATCTTTTGGTTTTGGGCCTCAGTTTTGGTGTATGTTGGGTCAAGGGTAAAATGGTCATTTTACCCCAAGTATGGATTATGGATTAGAGCGTGGGACCCAATTGCTAATTGGGTGTGTTATTGGTTTTGATAGCTCGGAAGCCGGCAGGGCAACAACTAAGGACTTTTTTTTCGGGGAGCTTCTGCATTCGAGGTGAGTTTTCATCACCGTACTTTCGGGTCGAAGGTGTAACGTCGTGATTTTTACCATAATTTTTTTTCCTTTTTAAAACATTTATTTAACAGAATACGTTAGCGGAAGACTTAGTTTTTTTTTCAAAATATTTTCGAAACCACAACGTTACTTCAAAAATTCAAACATAATTCCAAACCATTTAAAATGTAAACAATAGTACTTTAAAGTAAATAATCAAAAACGTGTCCAAGAGTGGTATCGTTAATATAAATCTACTACCCATAAGAACCCCTCTCACCAAGGCCAATCTTCTAAACTGCCTGCACCAATCAAGGCACAAAAGAGAAAAGATACAAGTGTCAGCCCTTGCTGAGTGAGTTCATAAAGTTGCACATAAAACATACAAACCCCAAATGGGTCAATCATTCATTTTACGATGAAGCATAAAAATGATAGACAAGTACCACTTAGAAAATGACTGCATATCATAATTATTCAATCACATATTCAACCGCATACATGCATATATGTTTAACCACAATTCTACCTAGGGATGAGCATAACCGGGTACCCGCCTATTTTAGCTGGAACCAGAACCGCTCCCGGAACCGGCGGTTCTTAAGTTTTTGGTATTGGAACCGGAACCGCCTACACCGGTTCCTAGAAAATTGGAACCGATCCCGGAACCGCCAGAACCGGTTCCGATTCCGAGTACCCGGCTTTTGAGTATTAAAACTTGTTATTTTATACATGTCATGTAAATTATGTAAATTAACCAATACAAACAATATAAGTAGAAGACATAAATCCAAAACATTTACAAAAAATTGATCTTTTGAATAACACGCTATTAAAAACATGCCAAAATAGCAAACTACAAGCTATAGACAACAATAATAAAAAACTATAAAATAGCAACAGGAGACTGAAATTATAATTCATAAAAGCAAAAACAGCAACAATAAAAACAACAATGGTAACAACGAAAAACAGCAATAGTGATAGCAACAATATCAACAACAAAACAGCAACAACACAACTCAGCAACAACACATAACAGCAAGAACAGCAACATCGGATAACAGCTACAACAACAATCAGCAGCAGCAAAAACAACAACAACAACAATTACTTATTCCCTCTTAAGAGATCTTCCATATTGCGACTGATTTCTGAAATGAAATTAAGCAAAAAAAAATTATAATAAGTATTATACAAGAAACATAAATTAAGCATAAAAACTAACATTTTATTAAATAAAAAAGTTACATTTATAACACATTGGAGTAACATTCAAACTTATAAAAGGACCAAATCTATAAAATAATAATAATAATAATAATAATAATAATAAAAGTTCAATACCAAATATGGTGCACATGAATAGTGGGTACCTTCTTCAGCTTGAAGAATATAAACTTGGATCAAATAATTAAAATGGAGTTGCTTTTTAAACCTTCTTAGAGTTCGTATAGGATTTCCGGTGAGTACAAGCCTCCTCAAAGTTGTCATCAAGCCTAAAAGACATTAGAGAATAATATTATTAATACATAAAAGTACCTTTTCCAATAAAAATAAAAATAAAAATCATAAAAGTATTGTTTTCATGTAGTACTGAATTCTACATGTACAATAAAATGCTAACCTTACCAATTTCAGGGGGGAGGCTAGATAGTGAATTATTAGACAAATCCAATACTGGAAGCTTCAATTTCCATGCCTCAACTAGATATTCCTTTAACTATATAAATAATAAAACAGAGGCACAAAAACATAATGTGAATCCAAAGTATGAGCTTTAGTAAATCCAAAGAATTAACATTAGTAGATTACAAATGATATTAATTAAATGAAAGTAAAATGAACTTGAAGTTGTTTGGAAGAAGATGACATGCCTGCATTAAGTTCAGTGAGTAAAGTCCATGATCCAACTAGCTTCTCAGATAAAATTATGAGCTTGTTACCCTAATGCAATTCAATGTGATTATGAGCTAATGACTGAATTAGAATATAGATAAAACTTCATATTAACATATTTCACCATTGGATTGCCTTGATTCCTGCCTGTTGCAGCTTAAACTTCATATAGATGTTAACAGAACCTAAAGAATCGACAAATTAACAAAAAAAATCAACAAAAAAATCGAAATTAACAGTCTAATAAACGAATTCACATATAGAGGTTGAACAACCTAAGAACTCGATAATCGAGATATCCAATTCCACAGTCAACAAATACAATCATATTTGAGAGTTACGATTAAGAATCTAACCTTGAGGATGAGAGAGGACTGATAATCAAGCGACGAGAGAGACGATGGAGAACCTAATTAGGGACGATCGGGAGCGACGTGGTACTGAGAAGAAGCGACATGGTCCACCTATTTGGGGAAAACTGGTAATGTGAGAGACAGAGACGAGGCAGACGAAGGAACAGTTCAGGTCTAAGACTGGAGAGAACTCAGAGAAGAAGCGTGTGTTGGCGTATTTTTTAGAATGAGTCGATATAGTCATATAACCCTAGATGAGATATAACCCTAGACAAAATCAACAATATATAAATAATTAAATATTTTTTTTAGAAAAAGGCGGGTACCCGTCGGTACCGGTTCTGGGTACTCGGTATTGGAATCGGAACCGGCGGGTATCCAACGGGTATCGGTTTCGTAAAAATGAGAATTGGAACCGGAACCGCTTTAAGCGGTTCCGAGACTTTAGGAACCGGAACCGGAACCACCTAAGGCAGTTCCAGTTCCAGAACCGGTAGTTCCGAGGCGGTTCCAGTTCCGAAAGCAGGTACCCGCTTCTGCTACTCATCCCTAATTCTACCACATAACATATATGATCAACCAAATACCACATAAGCAACCGCATAGCATACAAATAATCACATTTCATATATAAGCAACCTTTACTTGTTCAACCTTTTATGAGTAACCAACCTTTTGTTACATATTCAACCTTTTAATATACAACTAACCTTTGTTATATATTCAACCTTTTATTACATCTATCCAACCGTTTGATAGAAAAGTGTCCTTTAGTGCTACCTAACCCAAGAGAAACACCCTGTTCACTACTTGTGTGCACGGCCAGCCGAATGCTCTAAGTGGCTCATGACTTCCACCCGAAACACCAACCCCGTGACTCCACTTTCGCTACTCCGACTTTGCAGAGTACAAGTACCCCACGGTGTCGTTCAGAATCGGTACAAACTGTGTCAATTCTACCGATACACCTCCCGATTCCCACGTGATGTTTGCGCTGACCACGAACGAGGGACCAACATCACTCCAACCCACGAACACCGAAGTGCCCGCAAACCATGTGTCACACGGTCATCTAGAAAGACCGGCAACTAACAACCGTTGTGGCTATAGCTCTTCCTATAGGTACTCTTTCAACCTAGTAGGCACCCTCAATGATCCAGATAAGGTTTTAGGCAAAGATCATGAACTACCCAACCCCTCTACGCATAACCCCGCAATGTCATTTATACATTAAGCAAATCATGTAATGCATACCATATAAGTGTGTATTAAACATGCAATGTATTCATAACCAACACATCAAAACATAACCATACATCATATTTCAAGCAACTTAAGCTAGCATGCTATATACATCAAGTTCATCAAAGTGCAAGCAACATAGCAATTAAGTCATAACACATCATTAGCACAAAACATATATTAACATCACAAATATCATATCATCATCAAGCACAAGTAATGACATGGTCATCCTAAAGTGAATAAAATCACCATCTACGGATTGCATGTTTCAATCATGCAACCTTAGTGAGTTAAAACTATGAACTCACCTTTAGCCTTGATGAAATCTTCCTTCTATTCCAAGTCATGAACTTACTTGAAGTTATCAAGGCTCCACCTAAACACCACACATAACATTCAATTAACAAATAAAGTATATGTTTCATAACTACAACTTTATTCTAACTTTTATATTAATTTTTATATTTTCTCTGTCCGACCCCCGTTCAGTGTTGTAAGAATAAAACCTAATCTACAGCTCCATTTGGGATGACATCGGACATTTTGGGAACTAGACTCGATTTCCTAGAACTTCATGAGATATGAGCATCTTCCAATTCTTCCCAGATTAGCAGCTATAGCTCTCGCAAGATGGGGAAAAGTTGTTGTGTAGAATTCCAACATTCACCAAAAATCACTATATGATTCAAGACTTTAGGTAAATGATTATAGTTGCTCAATTTTACACACAAGATGATTGAATGATAGTATTAAGACATCGATTGTGTACTTTATGAGAATACCAAACAGATGACACAAAATGTTGAGAGTAGAATGCCTAAACATATAGACGAACGTTTAGAACAAAGTTCCAGATTTTGACCCGTAACAGTCACCTGTTCAAATCCATTTTAACACCACCAAGGACTACAAATTATACAATATTTTTGTATATTCCAGTAGTTTATATTTTTATCTTTTCAGAAAGTACTTTTAAAAGTCCAAACGATTTTTCTACAATTTTATATGATTTTTACAAAACAGTCTATCCGTGCAGCTAATTTCCGACCAGTCAGGGAAAAATGAGATTTTCACCAAAGTTGGAGGCAACAACAGGTCCTGGAAAAATTCATGGACAAACTAGACTCAAAATGAAAACTTTGAGAATTTACGGATCACTGATACGACTTCTGATTATTTTTCTATATTTTTTTCAAAACAGGGGCAGAATGGGAATTTTTCAGAATTTCTCATCAATGCATTCTAAGGGTTAATTGACAACTTAACCCATTAATCCACAACCAAAATCAACTATAAAGTTGTAAATCGAGTTCTTAACAGTAGCAACATGTCAAGAAGTTAAAATAACAATTTCAACCTCAAGCCATGATTCAAAGTACATTGCTTATATGGGAAAAATAAGGTACTTTGCTAAAAGAGAAAACACCACTAGGGCTTGATTTTTCTCCACCATTAAGCCTCATATTAAGACCTTTAAGGACCGTTTTGAAGACCTTTTGGATAGCTCAAAACATGGTCTTTTTATAGAAAAACAACTCATGAAAAGAAAATCACTAGAATTGACATGGAAATAAGTATGAAATCTAGCAACAAAAGAAAGGCATTGTTTCCATGATTTTGAGCAATCCTTGAACATGATTAACAATACATTAAGGAGTGTTCATAACAAGATTTTGACAGCCAATGAACCACTTAAATATGCTCAATAATGCTGGAAAATTTAACAACACATAACCTCAAGAATTGAGAGAAGGAAATATAATCAAGAATGACAATTAGAAAGCAATTGACAAAGATTTCATCCAATTCTCATCAATTGATGAATGAATTTCATAAGAAGATTATCAACTGCTTACCAAAACGAATCTTAGCCCCCGGATTGAACCAAAATCGCAGCCCTTATCCTTCCTGCCTCGGTTTTCTTCTCAAAGTCGTTGCCTCCCTCTTCTTGTTTCACAATCAGACTTCGTGGGTTTTTTTTTCTTTCTGATGTGTGACACCAACGCAAGAGTAATAGTCCCCCTTAAGGTTCGACACACGTTTTCAGCCAAGGAATGATCGAGTGGACTTCTTTGTACGTATGTGTAGGCAACACAAGAAGAGAAAAAGCGGACGAACTCATTGTATTCCTTAACACGTCGATTCCTTGCTATTGGGAGTTATGGGTGAAATTGTCATACTATTCCCCAGACTTTCAGCTTTAATTCCCTTTTTCCCTAACCCTAGATAACCTAACAGTTTAAGTTTCTTTTGATTGCATTTTAACTCCTCTATTCCATTTACACTCCTTTAATGAATTATATTTTCCTTATTTCTCCCCCAAAGTCACTTAATTAAATTATGTATTTTTAATTATTGTATAATTCTTTTATTATTATTATTATTTTAAATAACATCATTTTTATTTAATTGTTCTATTTCAATAACCTTAAAGCCGGAATAATCTTATGAAAATAAATGTTCGTCTAACGGAAACTAACATCGTTGACGGATACAAATTCGGGTCGTTACAATTCTCCCCTCCTTAAAAAGATTCCGTCCTCGGAATCAGTTACCTCTACGAACCACTTAGGGTAACGAACCTTCACGTCACATTTAACCACCTAGGTCACCTCATTGAGTTATACTCCAAACGAAACAATATCAAAGAAAAAGTATGTTCACCATAAGAGATATCACACATATCAAACTTTTCACACATTATGACTAAGTTAAACACAACCATATCAATATCTACATTGGAACTAATGACGTTCGAGGTACACCACAAATGAGAACATAAATGCAATGATACCAACTACTTACTATCACTAGCATCAAGTTATATAAAAGCACAGATAACACATAACGGGTATAGAATTAACTAAGAGGGTTCCCAAAAATTACCTCATCAGTTGTCATATTGAAAGCACGAGCTTTCACCTTTGGCGTTTCATCATTCTTCTCATTAGCTCCCATATGGACCTTAGGGTTGGGACATTGCCTACTAATATGTCCCATTTGGTGACAGTTGTAGCACATAGGTTCAACACTCTTACAATCTTCATAACGGTGCCCCACCTTACCGCATCGCTTGCAACTCTTGGTACTGCTACTACATGGACCTCCATGAGAAAAGTGACACTTCTTACAAAATGTTGATTTTTCACCCTTCTTATGAAATTTCTGCTTCTCAGAGGACCCCGATTGACCCTCCCACTTGCGTTTTTCCCCGGACCCTGGAGTATACCAGATATGAGTTGAGGGACAGGGAGGGCATGTCAGACTCATACTGATGATTCATTAGCATTCCAAATATGAGCTGAGGGCCAGGGAGGGGATACCAGACTCATACTGAAGGCTCATTAGCATTCCATATGTAACACCCCGAAATAAGGTATGTATCGATAACCCTTACTTTTTATTGTATTTTTAAAACTAACCCTTGATTGACAAAAGGTGGCAAATGAGTACGCGGGGCGTACGCGTGTGTACACTCAGCGTACTCATGTGCGTATTATGGACGCGGAGGCCACCTAGTACGCTGGGC